ACATCTCGATGTGACACCTGATGTGTGTGTGTTATGAACCAAGGGGCAGAATGACAAGTACTCAACAAATATCTACCCTGAAGAGCTTCGTAACTCGGTTGCAAACAGTAATATTAAGGCATGTCTGCTGGGAAAGTTGTACGGGATTATAACAGTCACAAAACTTGCAGCTTCTCAATTTCCCTTCCTGTCGTTTTTTTCGGTGGTGATTTACACGAGTCGTTTCCTCTCGCCTCTGCAAACTGCCAAGTTTGATCAATTCTCTAATGAAACATCAGAGTCTGACAAGACGAGAGGGACCCATCAAAAGCTCGAACCTCTCATCACGCTGAGATTCTGGAGCTGAAATAAGTTAGTGAAAACCAGCTGTCGGACAGCCTGGCCCCTGTTCCTCTCTCTGTAGAAAGGACTCATTGTTCCTCTCATCAATCTCTTTCCTGCAGTCGCAGAGCAAAACAAGGGCCCCCCTCTCCGTTGACGCAATTCCGATAGGACGGGGACGGACTGAACACCGTCCTTGTCTCTACGCACCCGCCCGCGCCGCGCGAATTCGAGCTGTGGCAAAAAAAAAAAATAAAAAAAATACAATGGTCACTCCAGCTTGTTATTCCCCCAGCGACGCTGGCAGGCGATATAGTCGTGCTTGTCCTCCATACCCGAGCCCATACTCGGATAGACGCTATCATCTATCCACACAAGACGTCAGATCATCAACTATGACAGATCGCGAAATAGACTCCGAGTCATCACAGCCTCGAAAGAGGATCGCAGTAGTAGCAGTAAGTCAGACAGACAGAGAGAAAGAGAGAGAGAGAGAGATATCTTTAATCCTGCTTGGCTATGGCTAACTAGAAACCTTCACATGAAGTGCGGTCGATGCCGCAAGCGCAAGATCCGATGTAGTGGCGACCCCGGGAACGGGCTCCCATGTTCCAATTGCAAGAATGCAGGCCATGAGCCGTGTCTCTTCTTACGGGTAATGCTCCGCCGATCATATCAAGAAAGAAAAGAAAGGAGAGCACGAGAGAATATGGAGAAACTTTTCTAACTTTTCTGATCATTGTCCAGGTTTCTTCAACTGAAACTCACCTTAGGCACGATAGCAACGACTTTGGGTATAATCTCGACGCGGCTAGGCCATACAGTAACCAATCGAGGGTACCTATATCTCATCTCAACTCAGTCCCTCAATATCCCGCCACAATACCTGGCGAAGATGTTATAGCATCGTACCGCCATAGTCAATATCCCTACGCAAGTAAATATCACTACTCCACCGTGCCGGGATGGACGAACACATATTCGGACGAAGGTGTGGAATATAGCGGCCTTAATTATCCATACCAGATGATAAGCCAAGAGCCTGCTCACATGGTACAAGGATATGGGCGATACGGCCCAGCAAAATCTGTTTACGTTGATCCTGAAAGTCCTCCGTATTCTTTCGGGAGCTTGGCTCACCGCCCAGTCGCAAGCAGCGAATCTCCTACTGGATTTTCACTGTCCGGAATGGCCGCTTCTCTTCCTAATGCCCCTGACCGCGTAGTTCCGTCAGACCGCCTTCTACCGCAGGTTAATCGAACTCTAACAAGTTCGTCAAGCTATCGTGCGGATGGGGTCACAAGTTACTCCGGCTCGAAGACGTCTCCGAGTAGTTCGTTGTCTGAAGTGAGCTACGGAAACTTGAACCCTAGCTTTGAGTCTCAGTACTCGGCCCCGAACACGCTGCCATCACAACGGTCAGGTAACCAGAGTGATACGACTCCTTACCAACCAAATACGACTCCGGCATCAGATGCCTTATACACATCTAGTGACCAGTCACTTCGATCTACCGATGATACCAGCACAAACTTCAGCTACATCTACAGCGACAAGCTTGAAAGTTCTCGGCGCAATTCGCAATCGAGCTGCGGGGCAAGCGGCGGATCTGTGTCCCCAACGGCCATGTTTATGTCCCGGACTCGCATCATACCCACGCCCCTTCATCCCAAGGGTATGTCTCTTCGCAAGATAGTGCAGTAGATGGAGCTACCACGTCGTCTAGCGAGGAGGTAGCAGCAGTAACGGCCCCTCGCATATGCATATGGACGGCCACCGACGATCTGCGGGAAACCTCCGTGGGGGATAATATCTATGGCCTTATGTTTAAGCGTCCCCGGTTGGTTGAAGAGCCGGGTGATGGCGGTATGCGGTGCGACATGCTCAGGGGGGGAGGGGAGGGGAGGAGGTAGGGAGCGGGACCAATAAGTCCCAGCCAGCTCAGTCAGCGAGTATTGTACGAATTCTTCTGGTCGACCAAAAAAAAAGAAAAGAAAAGGAAAAAAAAAAAAAAGAAATCCCACCCATACATAATTCATACTGTTAGGAACACGGCGACGCCTAACGAATTTACCTTTCTCGCGATCCGGTTCTTCTTTTCGTTTACCCGAGTCGACGGCACCAGGGTTTTCTGCCTGAAGACAGCTCTCTCTTGGTCCCATCACTCTTTTAATATCTTACAACTTACTTCATTATCCAGTCCCTCAAATATCTATCCCCATCCTACTCATAACTCCTCTTTCCTCCTCCTCCTCCTCCTCTCCGATAATACGTGTCATTTCATCTTGCATGCATCGGGTGTTCCTTGCGGCGGACGAACGCCTTTATGGCGCCTCTTCCCACCCTCCTCATCTTTTTTCCCCCCTAGGACCCTTTTAAATACTGGGAGTACAATACAACAAATCCCGGAATTTCTCCAATCCAAGTTGAATCCGGCGATGTTCTGGCTTTTTCTCTATGCTATGCTACTCTCCTCCCAAGTTCCGAGGGCCCGGATGCTAGATAATTATTCCTAGTGGGCGAGTAGAATCCAGAAGATAAGCCCGATCGATGTATGGCGCTTCGTGTTCTGGGGCTGGTGGGTTGCGCGAAGATGTAAGTCACGTACGGGTGCATCCCACTTGGGAACTCGTCTTCGGTAACCCCCTACCACATGCATGGCGGCTCGGCTACATCCCCCCGGTCGACCCCATTGCCGCCCTTCTTCTTCTTCTCGTCAAAATCCTTATCCGCGTGGCAAAGCAGGCGCTACGTTCTTCGTCTAACTTACGCAAACTCATCTCGGAGAGGCTTGTTTCAAGACGCTAGGAGTTGGAATAACTATTCTTTGTACGCGGCGCAGGATCGGTGTTTGTATGGTGTGTATGTGTGTATGTGTGTATGCATGAGTGTGTGTGCGTTTTTTTGTGCCGGTCCATCTGTCTGCAGCTATTCCGCCTTCATTTTGCTTTCATTTCTTCTCAACCCCACGGGTCTTGTTTTATCTCTGCTTGGTCAAAATACCATACATATTAGGGCGTGGTCTTATTCATCTGGTTGGATCCCCAAGATACCTCTTTGCCGATTTTTGGCGGCATAAAATGGATAGCTAAGGACGGGAAAAAGAGACTGAGTGGAAGAAAAGATTAAAGGCCGGGAACCCTCCTATTATTTATGCCATTGCATCGAGCAAAGTTATACAGCTAGTCAACGGCAGGAAGGCTCAGCATTGGCTTTTATTGTCATTTCTAGGTTTGGGGGTAACCCCCCCAGTCTGTACCATTTGCTTTTTATTTTTTATTTTTTTTTGCTTTCACATTTGTTTTACAGGAATACCCAAGAGTATCTAATAAGGCCTACTCCTAGTAATGGCCTGGTCAGCACAGCATGTTGAAAGAAAGAAAAGCACCCATCATAAAGGGAAAGAAATGATGTGAATCAACTATAAGAGATTGTCATAGGTCACCCTAGCATGTTTAAGCCAGATAGGAGAGGAACTGTGGTTTGTAATGTCCCCTTTTGGAGGTTTGAAGTGGGACACAGTTTATGACACATTAGATCCCATAGAGCATCTTAAGAACATAGTCTTATTCCTTTCAATTGAACCTGACAATACATATATCCTTCTTGCCTAGGTCCGTAATGTATCTGGGTGTGTTAGGAATAGTAAGTAGAATTTGTAGTTATCTTAGAGGACATATCTTGAACGAAATGATGTAGGAATATAAATTTAGTTTCTCATAGCACATATACTGGAAGATTAATGAGATGATTACCATGTATTGTATATACTCTACTGATTGTCGGGCTGTAGTCTCCTTGAATACACCTTATAAACCACTGAACATCTCACTAACAAAAAGCTCGTCCGGGATTATGAAATCATCGTACTCTATGCTATTGATGCTATTCCCATCAGATTGGATTGGCGTCACAAGCTTTTCGACAACCTCGGCATGTTGTGCTAAGCATGTGTCGCCAAGGTCCCAACCTGAATTATCTCTATGACGACGCAATGCTGAGATTAAATCCCATGCAAGTCTGATAGAGCTACTTTTTGAGAGTTCGTTCGGAGACTTTTCGATTTCAAGCGCACAGCGCAAGAGGATCGAGACCGTTGATGAAAAAGCAAATGCGCTCACAGGCAACCAGAAGTCACGCAATTGCTCTTCTGAAGTTCTTGGACCAAGAAGACAATGTGCTCAGCCGTACTCCGAATACTTATATGTTGGTTGGCTAAGCTGTCATCGTTAACCTCGTCCCCAGATCGGACACCCTCCATTCGAACGCGATGAGTTAATAATTTAATGGATAGATATGCTAATCGGAGGTTAGGCTCGCCGGGAATGTTAAGAAGAACACCACGAGTTATGACCTGGCGGACATCGTCTCTTAAGCTCTCTACCCATCTGTTAAGGCGAAGCTCCAGACTATCGATTGGCGTATTGACCTCTTTTCTAACCTGATAGAGATATTGCAGGTAGTAGTCAAGAACATCGGTTAGCTCTGAAAGGGCAATGAAAATAGTCATAGCATCATTCTGCCTTTGTGAATCTGCTCGGTTAAGTTGATACTCAACCTTCGGCTGGGGAACGTTGTAGAAGGAACTTTGAATATGCGGTGGTGTGCCACAAGCTAAGCTTAACCTACACGTCAATAAGCTTAAACTCGATCTTTTTCGGTTTTAGGTATATATGGGTTTACCATTTATCATGAATCAGTATTGTCCACCATGTATACATTCGAAGCATTTTCTCGGGCTGTGGTATGTCCCAAGAAAGGGGGTTATGATTCAAGCCAAGAGAGTAGGCCAGAGACACCGCACTCCCAAGTCGGACACCATTACCTACTATGGCAGTTGTTGGTCGGCCTCCAATATTCAATAATATTGCGGTAATAGTGGAAATTCCTGGCGAGAGGAAAAGCTCCGACTGTAGAGCTTCGCTGGCAAGGTTCCAGATGAAGCGAACGTCCGGAGACCTTTGTTCTGCAAGTTGGGGCTCAGATTTCCAGTAGACTAGACTATGCGCATAGAGAGAAGAAAGAAGGGCTGGGGATAATCGCTCCTTGGTAGTAGAATATTGCCTTCGGAATGATTCCTCATTTAAAAGGGGGAAGCAGATATTTACCTTTTGAAAATAACTTAGGAACACAATTAGTCACTCAGTAATTATTTTTACCTGAAAAGAAGACTGTGCTCACAGGTCAATTAACTGCTGTGTCCATGGCTCGAGTAACTTCTCAACGACTTGACATTTTGAATGTGATGGATTCGCATTCATCGTAAGTCCTAGGGGGCGCTTTTGTACTACCGTGAAAACAACTTGTCGGCTAAGATTGGTTCCCTTTGGACGAACCTGGTGTGTAATGCAACCGTCGCCGGCGGCAGTAGATAGGTAGTCAACCAGTACTTGACTATCTCCAGTCATTGCAGGGCTTATTATATGATTTTCATTTTCTGTTTCTTCAATTGATAAGGGAGTTGATTGGGGCTGAGTATCATGATGATAGTTATAAATAACGGGACGAATCCCAGAAATGCCGGTATTAGCCCATGTGGCATTGACAGTGATGTTGGCTTCATTATCAAGAGTGGTCGAGTGTTCATTTACCCCATCGTCGTAGTCAGTAACATCCGGAATGGATTGAGGCTGTACAGTGTCTCTTCGAACACGAGTCTTTTGAGCTCTAGTGTGCCCCTTAGTGGAACTCGTCTGCTTCTTGATCGGAAAAGAGCACACACTCCCATGGACCTGACACATTAAGCATGATGCTGAATGGGCCTCGATCTTACAGCGGGACTTCCTTTTCCGACAGGGAAGACAAGCCGGGCGTAGATGAGATCGGTAGGGCCTTTCCCGTGGACTCTGCGACTGCATGTGGAGCATGTATTTGGCCGCGGAAAATAGTAACTGAGGTATATTGTTTTTAAATCCGGTGTTATTAGGCCGGGAAATATTAAAAAAAAAGGGGGCGGGAGGGGGGGAAGATTTTGGCTACTCCCGAGATGTGAGAGACCCAAAGCTTAAACTTGAACTGCAATGGCTAATAGCTCAGATCGATGAGAAATAAGTAGACATGATGCATCGCATGAACCCAACTCGTAGATGTCTATTTCTCCAAATGTGGATCTACTGAACCAATACTTTATGCAGCTTTCATCAGCAGAGCTTCCTACTTGTGGAGACTTATTGTGCTGATATATGAATTTCCCGCGGCAAACGCTACTCCCCTCGGAATCGAATCGAGGTAAGGAAGTAGTAAGATTTTAGATCTCTATCTCTCAAAAAGAAATCGTGTAGATATCTATACATTAGACCTAACTATGTGTAAGGCATATACCTATACAGATTAAGACTCTATCCTAGACAGTTATTAAGTAAGGCAAGCTTACAAAGTGTAGATGGATTATACCTATGTCCTTTTAACAAGGAAATATCATACTACTTGCTAATATAAAGGCATAGTGCCCGGTGTAGCAGCAAATGCCTGTTCTAGCAACTGAAGGCCTTCCTGTATCTGCTCTCTTGTGATGGTGATCGGTGGGGCTATTCTAAAAATTCCACTGAAGCTCCCATGGCTGCTTAGATTGGCCCAAACACCGAGATCGTATGCCTTGTCCGCTATAGATCTTGATAACTCCAGCGCTGGTGCCCTCGTCACTCGATCGGCCACGATCTCAACACCAGCCATTAATCCCCTTCCACGCACATCTCCAATGCACCCGTACCGCTCTTTCAATACCCCGAGACCTTCATGTAGAATCTTTCCGATGGCCCTAGAATTCTCGACCAAATTATCACGCAGTACGACTTCCAAGACTTTGTTACCTACCGCGGCAGGTAGGGGATCATTCACCTGCCGGGAACATAAGAAACAGCCAATTTAAACATACAAGGTAAATTCAGGCACTTAACTTACGTGGGTTGTATAGAAGCAGTAATCTCTCTCGATACACACTTTCTCTATCTCCGAGCTGGTCACGACGGCACTTAGCGGAAGACCGTTTCCAAGAGTTTTGCTCAGCGTCAATATATCCGGGACTACGTCTTCGTGAAGGATAGCCATCATATCGCCGCAGCGCCCGACGCCAGTTTGTGCTTCGTCGACGATTAAGAGCATACCCCTCCTCTCGCAATGGTTCTTTAGAGCCTTCAGATATCCCGCAGGGAGGACATGTATGCCCGCGGAGGACTGGATGCACTCTACTATGACAGCAGCGAGTGACCCGCAGGAAGCTTGATCGATTAAATTCCAGCCATAGTCGAGCTCGGTCTCCCAATCGTACGATCCGTCTGGATGGCGAAATATGGATCGATATGCGTTAGGAGCTGGTAGCATATGCATTCCAGGCATGAGAGGCCCTTGACCTTTTCTTCCGTAATGATACTGGACACTAAGAGCTTGAGCAGTCACTCCATGCCATGAGCCATTCACGGCTACAATTTCAAATTTACCGGTATAAACTTTGGCCAGCTTGATTGCCGCTTCGTTGGACTCACCCTAGGATACAAGATTAGTATTGGCTTCATATGAGTAGCTTATCATTAACATCAGTGCTTACTCCGGTGGATAGGAAGAAAGCCTTGTCTAGGCCCGGTGGAAGTAACGAACAGAGTCTCTCGCCTAAGGTTATAACAGGGGGCGAAACCATCCCCGAAAAGAGATGGTCAAGATTTTCCGCGTGGTCGACTATTGTCTTCACAATCTCGGGATGTCCATGGCCCAACAAGCAAGACATCTGTCCAGATGTCCAGTCAAGGACTTTGTGGCCTGCTGCCGTATATACGTAGAGGCCCTTGGCACCGCATATGACATCTTTCATGAACTTAGTTCCATAATTGAATAGATATTGCGATGCTTTCTTCTGAAGCACTTCTTGATCTTCGTTTCTGTAGAGCCTTGGTACTATGTCATAGGATTGTGTCATAGTGCCGGTGCTCTTGTCAGCGAGTTCACTTTGTCCCGTCCCCGATACCATAGTTATCTGTTTCGTTCAGAAAAGGTAGTAACCCCTCTAAGCGTATGCGGATATACTATCTCAAGTCACCAGAGGAGAAAAAAATAAAATAAAAGGTAGCTTTCCAAAATTTCCCCCTATGGTGATTATTGAAGCGGCCTACTTTATAAATAAACCTAGTTGCTGAGGAGGCGAGTGGGTTATCCGGGGAGTTTCCCGCGGACTAGCTACCGGACCCGCGGAGAACCAGCAGGGTGAATACTAGGGGACGCACTCAACGACGAGGAGGTTAATATCAAGCAGTCTCCTAGACAAAAGCCAATTTTTTTACAAATATTCTTCATTATTTACCATATGTAGTAGTTATTAATAGAATACCCTTTACATTAGGTAACTACATGAAACGGCAGTGACTTAATTGAAGGCATGTTATTTGCTTCAAAGTAGTATTTTAAGTTTTAGATTTGTTTATTTTTAATAATTACCCATTTTATATTTCGAAATAATCACACGTTTAGAGCCTTGATCCTACATTGCAAGTGAAATAACTTGTACCTATGAGATCGCTAGATATCACATCAAAATAATCTCGTTTGAGCCTCTATGAGTATCTAACGCATCTCTTATATGACAAAACCTTCCATTTCCGTCAAATACCACAAAGGGCCTTTTCGGCCTACTATACGAAAACGATTGCACAACACTTATTAAAAAATTCTTTATTGATTAATCATATGATAAGGGAATCGTCGTCAATCCACAAACTACATTGTAGGTAGTTTACCATCAGTACTGGTACTTAATTAGCATATTTAGGTCTAATCGTTAGTTAACAATACTCGAGAAGCGAAGAGAGGATGTCTGACCTTAAATTTGAGTACGTATTTCGTATTTTGTTCCTCGATCTTCGCACCGAGTTTGCTTTTGGCTTTTGGTCTATACATTAGGTAGTTATACGGTATTTTGTAATAGGAAAGGCTAACTTGTATCAATTGGTTCGGCATCACGGACTTGACGGACCTTTTGCAAACATATTTTGAGAGTGAAAAGCCGAGACAATTTAAATTTGAAAAGACTGTCGGGAAAGGAGCTTATGGCATAGCATACCGACTCATACATACGCCGAGGACTCCCAGCGGGGGGAAAGGCACGTCATATCGCCTTTGTCTGAAGGCGGATCGTGAAGGCGGGGAATCTGGTGAAGGAGGTAGCGGAGATAGCGGAGGTGGCGGAGCTGGTGGAGCTGGCGGTCTCACACATGAGAGCATGTATCTTTCGGTTCGTTGGAATCTAAAAGCTTGCGGAAACCAAACTCACACGCTTCTAGATCTTACAATGGGCTAAACACATCGTCAAACTCATACAACCACCAAATGACCCTCTTACTCGACAATTTGAGGCGTCGAGCCCCACGGACTCAGACCGGGGGGGTGGATATACTCGAGTGGCTAGAAAAGTAAGTAGTTGAAGTTGTTCAGGACAGCATTATGTCAATTCCATGCCCTCGAATTTCCTTGCCAAAATTTTGCATCTTAGATGACATTTTCTTCAGTGGAACGGTTGGCTCGTTTACCGATAGAGCTTATGCGAGAGGTCGACAGCTCCCGAATAGGATGTTATGGAGGTTCTTCTTGTGCTGTAAGTCTTAGCGATCTAAGATAGTAATATGCGGTTATTGCGTCGATCTAGAGGCTAATAATTGGCGTCGCAGTCGTCCGTATAGCAATCGCCATGGCATGGCCACCGCCCGGGCCTGGGGATGACGGCGGGCAGCAATTGGAATTTATCAGACCAGGGCCAGCTAGGAGAATAGTGCACGACGATTTGCATGACGAGAACGGTATATCCCGCCTAGAAAACCCTTGAACTCTAGATAGCTGACCAACATCTAGTCATGTTTTTTTCGAACCGGATGATGATGATGATGATGAACACACCTTGACTGATTATCGATCGACTTTGGACTTGCGAAAGAATATCCGGGTCACGACAGGTAAGTCACTTAGAATTGTCTAAGCATTAAGTAAAAACTAACCTGGGTACCTAACGTATAGGAATTTTTTGAACAAGGGACCGCCTGATAACCTTTTTGATATCGGAGTGGTGAGTTTTTTTGATCTTCGTATTTCCCATTCCCTTTTTTCTAGTTCACCATTTATTTCCGCGAAGATAACCTAATTAAGTTCTAGCTCATGTCCGGGCTGGCAACACTTGACCGCCAAAGTTCACTCGGCCTTATGCCAAGATCCGCAGGCGGAACAGTATTCTCCAGGAGGCGGGTGCCCCGGGATTCCTGGGCAGCGAAAATTTATGATTCCAGATGAAGACCCAAACAATACTCTAGATCCCCAGTTACGCCATTTAATTAATATCTTGCACCGCAATCAATCCTACCGACAGGCCGACACTAGAAGATTTGATAGATCCAATTGTGGACATGATGAACGAGCGGGACGAGGCTTGGTACAGATCGCACAATATGAACGCCAGAAATGAAAGCGACAACAATATTGATAATATGATTCAAGAGTTGATATTGGATGCTTGAAAGGCGATACTTCTCATAGTATACCACGTCGTAATATATTGCTTAAGCAAGATGTATATTAGTTATTTAATCCTAAACTTCTAGTTATAACCCTTTCGTTATTTTCTGAGAGCAAAGATAGAACACCACGTCAGCCAAATTATGATGTAGTAACGGTGTGCTCTCTCTTTGTCATGTAAAAGTCATTAGTCCACTTTGCAATTTGAGACACAACGTCTGCTTGGGTTTTCTTAATATCTGGGTTTACCGCATTTTGGACACGGAGGTCGTTACAGTGACGCGAACCGGGGATTAGAATACTGGGAACATTTGTCGTGGAAGCTAAGGGGCCTCTAGGCCTAAAATCACTGGCGACTGAGGCTGACCTCCATGGATCAAACTCGCCGTTCACCCATAGGAGCCGGGACTCGGCGTCCAAGTATTCAGGCAACTGCCAGCCTTTGGTATGGGCATTGATGTCTGACGCTGTCTTACCCAATGCGCTCCCATAGGTGAACTCTCCCTCGTCCGGAAAAAATAGCCCACATTGACGTTGCCAGTAGTCTGCGTTGGCGAGACGTGAGAATACAGTAGAGCGGTTTACCGGTGCGCCGCTGATTTTGAGCGTTAGGTGATGGGGATTGGCTAATGATCGAGAGGAGGTTCTTACGTTTGGTAGTAGAAAAAGGGGTCGTTACAAGTCATCCATACCCAAGTACGACCGAACCCATTCGCTTTGGTTTGGTCCGTGAACATTGGGCTAGAGGAATTGTATGTGTCGAAGCATGCGGTGTTATAGTCATGCTTCCACTCATCATAACCGTAGGAGGCACAATCTACTTTGTTAGATTGCGATGGAGAGTGATAAAATTTGCAAACTTACACCCTGGCAGGTAATGAGCTTTGAACCACTCAGCAAAGTTAGGTAAAGCAATTTCAAGGCCGACCCCACGAGGACTACTACTGTTAAGTGGAATGGTTGAGTTTGGGGAAAACCCCTCAATGGCATCACACCTATATAGGTTGCGTAAGCTTTTCTGAATTTGCAGCTATGGAGTTGTTCCCCATATGAATGACTTACATCTGGTAGAATTGAGAATAACCAGAGGTGAATTGAATACTCTGCCAAGCCCAGATTGGAGATGATATTGCCCTGAAAAGAGGGTTAGAGCAACTTGTACTTGATAGAGGAGGATCGCGAGAATACATACGCAGCTACATCATCGAGATGTACGATATCTTGGAGCTCGAATAGCTGCTTTAAGCTGGCAGTATCTTCTTGAGATCCGTTGGTAAAGATCTTGTCAACATGATCAATAATGGCGGCGTAATCTTCTGAGCAGTTTTTGGGCATGCCTTGTTGGATAGGGTAGAAATATTGCCAGTAATCGAAAATCGCCTCAACGGGACCACTACTGGAATGCGTCGCCCAAAAAGTCCCGGGTGCAAGACTTTCGATCCAGGCACCTAAGGCACCCGAGTAGGAACCGCCACTCCAGATCCAAGGGGCATTGGATGCGTTCGATGTGCCATCTGCGTCGAACGGTAGCTTAACGGTTTGGGCAAAATTAACAAAGTCGGCGACAGATTGGTCCAAGTTCAAGAACTGAAGGTTCTTCGTTGTTTGGATTTCGTACGGCGTGCTGTTGCCCCAGTATCGATGCTCAACTAAGATAACTGCACCACCAACTTCTTTGGCGATTAGACCGGTGAGGGCTTGGTCAGTCATGTACGACACATAGCCCGTAGCAGCGACCTCGCCAGGGGTAAATAAGATGACGGGTGACCCCGGGCCTTTCCAGAAGGTGGCATTATACCAATAGGTCTGGTTAAAGACTCCGAAGTCTGGATTGTTGTGATCGATGTATTGCTCAAAATAGGTAATGCCTGTGGCAGACTGCCCGGGATCAGCGAGCGCGGCTAAAATATCTTCACTAACATCTTCCGATGGAGGATAAGGAATAGGAGGCGTTAAGCCGAACACAACCGGCAGACAGATGACGGAGAAGAAATATTGAATGATAAAACATCTCATGGCGACAGCGACAATAATACTGACCAAAAGGAGAGGAAGAAGGGAACCCCGACGGCAAAAAGAAGATATGGAAAGGCTTGCGACTTGGGATGGCCATTGTGGTGGGTGAGACAGATATTTATTATTATTTACTTATAGATTACTTATAGACAATAGATAAACGCCTCGACCTACGAGGGTGGGATTTGATGAGATAGAGACTGCAAGACATAGCCTTCGAATGATAGGTAAGGTTATTAATAATAATATAGTTCATCATTTATTATAGGGAAGGAAATGAGACAGAATCATCCGTAATTGTCTACATGATACAATATGATGCAGGATTTAGAGTGAAGATTGTGCAATGTATGGAAGCATTAATATGGTGGAAGTGATTCAGGTAGCTAGATCCGATTGGCGGGATTGATTAGGTAGTGTACATACGGGCTTGCATTATATAAGATCAGCCACATGCGGGAAGCTCAAGCCACAATAGAGGTTTTAGCTTCCATATCATCCATCATCAATCGTTAATCAAATCTACCTCTCGGATTAGATTCCACTCATCTAATTCCAACCTCGGATCCGGACTACTTTGAAGCTACTAGCCCGACTTACGTTGCGACATTCTATTTAACTAATTGACTATCTGCGCGTTTGATATATTTTCAAGATGGGTCTCCTGAGTGGCTCGTCCGAGGCTCCTCCAAGTATGCATTCTATTCCATTTTCGCATTTGCGACTACAACTACAACTACAACTGCTGACCGGAACCTACAGAAGCTACACGAGAGGAAATGCGAGACGCCAAACTTCCCCTAGCCTACCGAGATAGCTGCGCGAACCTCCTCATTCCCCTCAACAGATGTCGTGTCGACACATACTACCTCCCGTGGAAATGTAGCGTACGTGGTGTTTCTTTATTTCCCATGTATGCTCCAGTTAGTATCCGGCTAGGCAAACAACATACTCGTTATTTTTTACTAAACAGGACGAGCGACATAGCTACGAGAAATGCCAGTATGCTGAGTTCAAGAAGCGTGTAGCGAGGATGGACGAGCTGAGGGAGGCCAAGGGCGGGGCACGAAGCAATTGAAACCGGCCTGCATTTCCATGTAGGTAGAAAGGGAATAAATCGACTTGTACATATCCTAAAACCCCTCTACTAGTTGTAAGAGGTATTATTCGTCACTTGCCGAAGGGCAACTACTTTTAACTTGCGTTCCGGACTCTCTGCGTTTCGCTCGTTACTTAAGAATGATACTAAATGTTTGATATAGTTACCCTATAATGTTGGAGTTGCGTTTCTGCGCGATTACATAAATAGTATATCTATCTGTATAATATGCACGTTTCCTTGGTGTTAATCTTAAGACAAGGGTTGTCGCCCACCTTTGTAGAAATTATCCTATTTGATATCTTTGCTTACCTAGACTGGATATTCTCTACTGCTTCTAATTATGAATCTTGCTCAAGACTTCGATCTTCACTATGAGCAGAATCGTTCATTTTCGGTTGTCGTGTTATTTCATTTTATTTGCTCTAGCTATTAATTGAACTGAAGCAACTAATCTTATGGAAGAGTGTGGAATATGACACTGGTAGACTATTTCTTAGCTACCTAACCTATTATCATCCATTAAACCAACCTCGTGCCTAAACAAAACCAACTAGAATCTTGAGCTTGTCTTTCTCCGAGGTTTAATCGGACTAAAGGTGGAGACTGATGCTGCGGGAGAAGTCGACAGAGGTCCCTGCGACGAGGAGATAAATTTCCTCCTTTTTGGAGGTTGAGGTCTGATAGGCGCTGTCACACTTCTCGCGTTGCCGTTTTTGTTATCAATCCTCTTATGTACCCATCCATTACCCCTCGGTAAACTGTCCGGATCAGGAGAATAAGTCCGATCAACCTCGTCGTCAGCGTAATTCTCGGTATAGACAGGTTCTGAATCCGAAGACAATTCGACTACCTGCGTTCCAGGAGGAAGTGTAAATTGAGATGACTCTTTGGGAAGTTTTCGTTTCTTTATCGGTGGAGGAGAGGTTTTGATTGGTGGAGACCTTGAAGGCACTTTAACAAGGCCATCCTCCGCAACACCGTCGAGACCTCTCCTTTGGCTGCTCTGCTCTAAGCTATCCGGAACTCTTGAGGAGCTTGTTTGATAATCCGACGTGTTATCTAACTTCTGCATTTCTTCTTCGTAGTCTTGATCCTTTTGCGCTCGGGTCTTTTGCGATCCATTGAAGGGTAGAGACTGGGACTGAGACTGAGACTTGGATGGGCTTTGTGTATTTCGTGAAGTGAGCGCTGTGCACCATATGGTATTGATTGAGGACAATGAACTAGGAGTTGAGGGTTCTGCTGACAATCGTAATTCTGATTTTTGCGGCGTTGTCTCTTGCCCGGCGGCCGACTCTTCTTGGAGAAAGGGCGTAGGTGTAGGGGTTGAAACATCCTCATCTGATTCTAGGTCTTGTTGGTATTCGGTATCTAGAGCAGTGGAGATGCCATCATCTGTGATTTTAAGAGAATCCGGCTCTGTAACTTCCATGTGTAGGGTATAATCCAGCTGCCGTCCACTGCGAGCACTACTCACTGACGAGGGGGGGATAATAGCTTTAGACCTCACGACTTTTGGTGTCCCGGCAACAACTTCATCTTCGTGACTATCAAATAGAGGGGCCGATGACTGTCTAATACTAGGAAGTTCCGATTCTGGAACCTCGACGTCTAGCCTGGTGGATGGACCATCCGAATCGGTGTCGCGGTTGGAAATATCCTGAACTGGTAGTTGATTAACATGTATACTTACGGATTGGTTGGCACTCTCGTGTAACTGTTGGGAAGGGCTATTGACCTGCGAAGGATTAGGCGATGATGTGCTGTCGTGTTGTTGTACCTGACCCGATGTAGAAATTTCGACGCAAGTAACGCCGGACGTATTTTCTTCGATTGATTCTTTTGTGCTAGACCGTTCTCGTTCTGAGTGTACGTCGACTTTTACGTCTTTGGCGACGGCTAACGGTTCATTCCTTGTATTTGAGCTAGCTTCAGGGAGGGAGTTAGCTACACTAGGGTTCTCATTAGGCGCCATGATGGAAAGAGGCTGTTGAAGAATTTTAGGCTGCTGCATTTCGGCAAAACCGATAGTCCGAAATCCTTCGTCCTCTCCTTCATCTTCGTCGTCGTCGTCGTCATTGAGATCTGGCGCTTCGAATTTGTCATATATCCGCTGGCCAGTATTCTCGTCGTATTTCTTCTGGTTTCGATCAAGATATCGATCCCTCTTAGCAAGACAGACCTCCAAGCCGGTAGCGTCGTCATCGATTCTGACCACTACACCCGTCACGTTAGAAAGCTGCGGCTGCCAGCTGGTCGCCGACGAGCATGACCACTGCTGCCAGGTTATCACCATTCCAACTTGAACTTCCCCAGGACGTAGAGCGGGAAGCGCCGATAAATCCGATGGCAAGGATGGAAGATCATCCATGTCTGTAAACTGGCTCGCATCATTTATAGGTTTGTTGGCCTCGCGGGGTTGGTATGCCTCAGTATCATCATAGTTGAGTTCGACGTCGGCATCATTGGTGTAATCGTCCATACCGTTGAATGTGTCATCGTACCCTTCTTCGTTCCACATGTCAGATTCTTCGTGCTTTCGCTTCTTGCTTGAGCGGTTATCTTGGTAGAATTGTCTTTGGTTTCGCTGTGCTCGTTTACTTTGGCCACCACGCTTATTCTTCTTCTGCGACCATGAGCTTTGCTGTTGAGGATCCCAGCGCTGAACGAATGGAAATGGGGGTTCGCTGAGCTGTACCCCTTCGTAGCAGCACTCTACGGCTCGATATATGATTTTGTCTTTCCAGCACCCAAGATCATCCTCCACCGCCGAGACGTCTTCATTTGTTTGGCGCGTATTATCCTTTCCCGGGCCGAGTCTTGGGTTATCGAGCGGTCGAATATCCTTCATTAAATTTTCCCGTAATTTATCCTCATCTTCTTTTGTTTTGGGGTTACGAAGACCCAATGCACCAAGAAGGAGTCTCCGACTGGCACCTATATCTACACGAAGCTTCTTTTGAACAGAAGCTGATGTATCTGCGTCTTCGTCTACAGGTGTCATCGACGATGTGTCCGGCTGAATAACCTGAAGGTTAGGTTCGTTGTGTTCGTCAAGCTTCCGTTTTGTTGACGTGGACGTTCTCGATGACTCGTTGAATCGAGTAGGAGGACCAATTTCTATTCCGCCACTAGCGATTGCATTTAGCAGCTCCTGCCGCTTAGCTTCAAAGAGAGCCTTTTCGTCTATAACAGACAACCCAGTCTCCTCGCCTGTAGACGTCGCATCCATAATCGTACCCTGCTGCGCTACCTTTTTTGCCTTATTCGCGGCTCTTCGGCGGGCATTTCGCTTTTTCGTCCTCTCGTTACCAGCTCCGGGGGGCACTAGCTGAACCTGAGGAACCGTATTTGGTGGTTGTTGTGAAGGCTTAGTTTGCCCGCTTCCAGTGAACGAAGTTTGGACGTATGCTCTAGCTGTATCGGTGTTATTGGAAGTCTCTTCTTCGCTTCCTGACCCAGATTTTGATTCAGCTCCGTTAGATTCTCCATCAGAACTTTCATCCGAGGATATGTCACTGCTGTCAGAAGTCTCGTTACCACTTCCGATTTGATTTAGGTTGTTATCATGGCCGAGACCTCTTTTTCGGCCGAGCTTTTGACTATTGGATGACTGACGCTTCAGGGAGATTTCTTCTGGACCATCGTCGCTATCATCACTTTCATTGTCCAAATCGCTTGACATATCATCACAGGAACTCTTAGGAGAGCTATCTGCCGGACGTATATTACTATCGTCATCGTCATCGTCATCGTCATCTTCATCATCGCTATTGTCGCTTTCATTGCTGCTATGGTCGCTATCATTTGATGACATATCTTCGTCGTCGTTATTGTCAGAGCCATCATCTTCGGAATCACTATCACTTAAGATTTCAGAATCTTCACTCTCCGAGCTGGAACTTGTAATGCAACTCGACGTATCGTCGCCCTCAACTGTCTTTTCAGGGCTAGTTTTATGGCCGTTTAACGTTGCGGACGTAGTTTCACTCTCGCCGCTCGCCTTATTACTATTAAACGAGCTAGATATTGCAGCCATCTGCGTTAACCCCCTGCCAGAAGTAATTGATCCAGGTGGAAGGCCTCGGTGATCAAACTGTCGTACAAAAGCAGATACTTGCTCTTCGTCTTCGTCATTTTCATCGGACATATCCTCGTCATCGTGGGCGATGTCGTCGACAATCTCCTCTTCTGGGTACGTAGTAGGAATATCTTTTGTTGGGCCATCTTTTCGCGATTTTCGTGATTTTGGCTTTGATGTTGTTTTCATAGACATTGACCCTACTAGTAATGCGGATTCTGGCAGCTGCGGTACGAAACCACTAGCTAGAATATCGTATGCCGATTTAAGATCATCGCCGGAAGTTGCTAAAATCCTCTCGCAGATGCTTACTGGCGCCGAGGGGAACGCAGCTTGTAATGCTGATACCTTATTGTGATCTTCCTTAGTTGAATCCCGCGCATCTGAAGGCTCCTTATCTTCCACAATAGCATTATCTTCTGCCAAATCTTGGAGTTCCTGCTCAAGATCATCTTCGTCGTTCGACATTTCTGAGTTCTGCTGATCATAATCATCCGATTCAGAACCGTCACTGTCTTCATCTGCCTCTGCTTCATTGTCGAAGTCGCCATCTTCTGTTTCGGCATCGATAAAATCGAACTTCGGGTTAAATTTGACGCTCGGGAAGGCTGATTTGACCGCCGGGCGCTCGCTATTAGTGAGAAGTAACATAGGTGTATCCTCGTCGTCGTCTAGGCTATCATCTAGGCTCTCGTGAGGGTATAAGAGTCTACGGCGCTTCTGCGGAGGTTCGATTGGAGGTCGGCCGGTCGGGACTCTCAGGAGGCGACGCCCGAAAGGGATACCATCAACGAGGTGTCTGCCGTCGGAAGAGATCTGATGTCGACCGCTGATTCGACGACGCCTGTTGTCGTCCCGATCGAGGGCTCGAATAAAGACTCGATCATCAGGTTTAAGGACGGTCCGCACAGGTTGAAAATGGAGGCATTCGAAACTTGTACCGTCTTGATCGCGCAGTTCGACGACGTAGTCTTCTAACCCTTTCTGGCCGATCTCTAATGGAAAGGTCTCGTTAACCTTCTCGATAAGTTTTGAAATAGTCGGATTGCCTTCGAGAGACACATTCCACATGAGTCGTTCTTCCGGAAGGCCATCCCTACGCACCACCAAGCGTAGGCGCATGTCTTTCTCAGCCATGATTACGTGTGCCCTAGACACTAGAAGAGAATGGTGTATATCAGATAATTAAAGGATATAATTATAAGGTCATGAGAATGATTTGTGTTATTTATTAGTCTTTGGTGTAGAGTAACCGTTGACCCGAAAGGGCGACTTTATTTTGGAGTGAAAAAAGTGGCAGATTTCATTGCTTGGGTAGACCACAGGATAATTACACGAGGTGAAGTCTCAAACGGAAAGTTAGTAGAAAGCGCGTTGCAAGAGCTTTCGTAGCTCTGGTAGTAATAATTTTTAGGGTCAAGGCGCATACATAGAAGGTACGTAAGTACCTCTTAAAGATACATAGATCTCATTGGCGGTAGATGAAGATTATGGGGCCCACTTAAGTGGAAACCAGCCGGTCTAAAATTTTGGCAAGGATTGTGGGGTACATGGACCCTGGGAAATGCAAACGCCAATGGATTGACAGTTCATTTATGTACATAGGTACCTCTTACAAATTTAATATGAAGGTATTGATATTCAATATAACTAAACGAAGCACATCTACATAGCACATTCATAAGGCATCAACGCAAGCATTGCAAATTTACTCCTTGCAACTAACGCAGTTAATCAGAAGATAGTTACAATTATGATAGATGAATAAAATAAAATAATGGAACTTTCCAAATCTCTTGGCGACTTAGACGCGGGCCTAGATACTTGATATAATTTTACTCCTCTTCATATGTCACGTAAACCCGAAAATCTACAATGCCGTTCTATGATTTTTGAAAATACAAGGCTGCTAAGCGTATTTAGGATAAGCACATAATGGCGTATGTGCTCATCAAGGTGGTAGGGTACCCATATCCAGCATATGCCCCATCTTCTCAATCTATAGATAATTACACGGTTAGCTGCTCAATATCATCATATCTTCGACAATTATTTCAAAAAAAAAAAAAAAAAGGCAAGGGGGGAAATAAACGAGAAAACACACACCTTTGTTTTTAGATAGCCCTCTACTTCTCGACTCCTAAATCCACCTTTACCCTTCCAGCTTAGCGGCACCATTGCGACGCGCTCCGTTACTCTGACTTCCCTATTCGGTCCTTCAACGGCTCTAATCTTGTCCGGGTTGTTAGTTAGCAACCGAATCTCCTCCTGCCCCAGATCAAGGAGCATGGCCGTTGCCAACCCGTAGCTCCGCGCATCTGCTGGATGTCGTAATAGCAGATTTGCCTCCACCGTATCGGACCCTAAGTCTTGTAAGTTATACGCCTTTAACTTCTCGCCAAGGCCAATACCGCGCCCTTCTTGCCGTAGATAGATGACGATACCCCCGTTGACAGCGGTAGGTAGCGACATCAGTCTCGCCGCCTCGTCTAGTTGTTCGCCGCAGTCGCAACGCGCAGACCACGCCGTCTCGCCAGTATAGCATTCTGAATGTATCCGAACAAGAGGAGGTCCACTAGGATGCGGAACTTCCTCTACTAGGTCATCTTCAGTAGAAGACGAGCCGCCCGCCATGCCACTTTTCGTCCTTCCTGGGTAAAGGCGACCGGTGTATGCACCCCTCACCATACGGTCCATCTCCGTCTCTCCATCCCTCGGCGCATCCAAAGACCTGCTTCGGATGTGTGGACCAAACACTATCGCGAGATGTTCCTTGTTGTCGACATTATTAGTGTATAGATGTAAGAACATTTCGGTTCCAGATACTGTCGGGATACGAGCGCGCACGATGCATTGAACCTCAGGTAGGGTCTCGAGAAGCCTTGGTCGCTTAGTACCGCAACCACCAGATGGGATAGAAGAGTCAACGGGAACACCAGGGGGCTGTCGTTCGGCTAAAGGCGTAGGCGTCGCATTACCTGGGGTAGCAGGGGGTGTAAAGGCGGGTGAGAGAAGTGAGGGTGGCGGCGGTCGGCTTGCATCGTCGGTCGGCGTCGAAGCTGGATTTGAGGTAGATGGAGGAACTAGAGAGGAGAGGGATATCTCATCCCGGTCTAACCTAGGTGCGACGACATTGCCTTCGTCTTCCCGAAGCGGCCGCGACCGCGGGGAATAGAAAGATGGGAGATTTGTTGTTTCCTCGTGCCTTTGAAGATCTAGCACATCATGTGGATTCCCCACGGAGGACGAATTGGGGCCTGGCATGCCTTCATATAAATAAATCAATTCAAGTCTTACTTAGTTTAGAGTATGCAAAAACATGCAGCAGAGAGAAGCAAAAGAATGGCGCTGACATATAAACTGGTTGGATTTTGGCGGGGTGTACATAAGATATGTACAAATATGTACGTAATAACATGGCGAATTTGAGTAAGCGGCTGAGAAACCGAGGTGTACATATATACCTAGGTAGGTGTACCTTATTCAATGTAATGCGGGCATGGTTAACAGGCACATTCCCTGTAAATAATGTTAGAGGTACCTAGGTAGTTACCCTAGATTACCTAATTTACCTAGGTAAGGACATAAGGTAGTTACTTCCTCTGGCATAGATGTGTTGTACCTCACCTTAAGAATAAACTCTAATTTGTTAGGTATCTGTGCAGGTACGTTGCATACCTGAGGTAGGTGGTTAGGTAGCCGTAGATACTAATAAAGCCTCTCACCTTCCTATATTCTTGTTTGCTCTAGAGTTCCTTATGTTCCCCTGTCCTTTAATATCATTCTTGAGTTAGTACCTTTCATCTTCACAACTTCTAAGTAAATTTAAAAGATAGGAAGCAACATATGTGTCTCTTCACCAATTTATAAAACATTTACGAAACCTTACCGTTTACAGGATGCTGCCACCAAGCCTTGTTAGTACGTACCAACAGTACAAGAATGACACGGATTCTATTGCTGGTTGGCTTGCTTCTACGGCAAAGGCTACCGGCTATGTGTCCGACCCCTTAACTCAGCAGCCACCTAAGGTCTCAAGTACACGACTGAAAGGTAAGGCGAGGGCTGAAGCTAAGAAAAAGGAAGCTTCCTCATCTAGCAAACCGGCCCCAGTCAACAAATACATTATCAAGATCAAGGACTTTATACCCCTAGCAGAGTTTATAGCTTCTAAGCACGACATATCTATTCCGAATTCGCTCATCACTACCCTGCATCGAGTTATCATTGCTCGTGGGGGGTTTAGTAGCATGCTTGCCGAGAAAGGGACCGTCGCAGATGAGATATCGGATGTCAAACACGGCTATTTTGTAGGCGTCCTTGAGAAGGTACAAGAGATTCTGAAACTGAAACCGCAAACGAACACCACATCAACTGGTTCCACTGGTTCCTCCCCTAAAGCTTCTAAGGATAAATCTCGCGCGGGGACTACTGAAGATGAGTTCTCTAACCAATTCGCTGGCTTAGAGGTGTACGAGCCCTCGGAAGATTTCCTCAATGCACCTGACATCGAACGACCAAAGGTCCGCGAAGGCGATAATGTAACATACGAAGCAGAGCCACCTTCGTCCCTTGAAGATCTCTACGTCGCCGTAACACTGCTGATTAACGATATCAACAATATTCGATCTCGCATCGAATGGATATGGACCAACTATCGAGATGGGTTTTTTGAGTTGGCTGCCTGTGCGGTTACCACTAACACCGCTATTGACCTAGCGCGGAAGCTCAGTAAGTCGATTATGATCTTGATTATTCCTTGTTCCCAATCCTTCGTCTTATAGGGTGCTTGAAATACTTCTTTAAGACAGTTTATCATAATTTTAACCTAAATACATATCCTACTTCTCTCTCCATACACAATGCTAACAATGTACCGCAGTGGAAGACGTAGTACCGATGTTCAAAGATCATGGTGGGTTATGGGGGGTACTAAATCAGTTTCATATCGCCCAAGCGATGATGAAGGGGTACGAACCTTTTAACTACTCGCTCAATGGTGCCGATAACTTCAACTACGACACGTACGACATTGCGAATGAGACCTACATCTTAACCTACAGAATCCTAGATGCATTCACTAGGGTAGTACAACCTCGAGCCATTCCACTGTACAAGGAAGGGATTTTGGTTACTACGACCCTCGAAGCGCTCGAGATTCCAAGTCCGGCTATGAGAAATTCGAAGAGGATCGAGTATTGCTCATGTCGTTCTTCACAGAGCTCATGGCAGTGGAACGGGGGGTCGGCGACTATCCAGTTGAAGACGAATTCTTGCGTGGAATCAAGGAGCTAGCCAAGACTAAAGAAGTGCCATTTTATCTTGTTTTTGCCGCCCAGATCTTTCTTGATATTCACTATATCCTTCGTGGAAATGTTAGTCGAGGGTTTGAGACACTTCAAATGAACCTTCATTTCTTGGATCGAGAAATTGAGGAGCATTTCGAATTTCATAAGAACTTGAAGATTGATAACTGGCCCACCAGCCACAACCAGATGATACGACACGTTCAAGCAAAAATACAGTACATACTAGAAGACCCCGTATGCAAGGCCAAGACTCAAGCGTACCGAGAACTTCGCGAGCCCGTCCCAGTGTCCATGGAACCCAATAGAATGTTAAAAATGTCACCGGTTCTCAGCGGCCTTTTACTCTACCATTTTCGCTCGTCTACATGGGAGATCGGTATCAGGCTCGCAGATGCTTGGGGGTCCATCACTTACTCATTGCATCTGTACAATGCCCTGCAGAGCGAAAAGCTAATACCAAACTGCTGGCAAGATATGGACTTGGTATGGGCGGTACTCGGTGATAAATTTTTCGTCGGAGACGCGCCAAAAGCTGCAGAAGATTACTTCAAGAAGTTCTCCCTCCAAATGGGTACGACGGCAGCAGCGTTTACCAGTAAACGCCGAAAGAACACGGGGTTGACCTCCCGGGCGGGGCCTCGAGGGATCAAAGATGGCATACCCGTCTCCTCTATGTTCATGAACCGGTACCGACATGGTACGGGACAGGTCGACTGGACGGCTGAACACATTGCTAAAATCGTCGACCTTAGTTTGTGGGAGACAGAAGGTTTAGAGGAAGAGGGCACTTTGATGCTAGGACAAGTCGATACCAAGAAGTTGAAACGGAAACCTAAATCAATCAAGGTTAACAAGTTCTCGGAATTGCCGCCAGAACAACTCATCAGAGCCTTAATGTTCGCATTGCAAGGTGAGGCTCTCGAGTTAGCTCTCCCTTACACCGCAATGCACCGTGAATGCTGGGAACTTTTACGAGCCGTACGGAAGCATTGTGATCCTCTTCTTCGACAGATGTTCACTTCCAAGTATATGGAGCGGGAAACAGAGCTTCCTTTTGTAGTGGGTTGGATATTCACCGCTCTTTGGGAAGGACAAGACACGAAGCTTCTAGCAGAAGCCGGGGTTGCCGTTACTGAGTTCATCCGATCGGATGGCAATACGGTTCTAGGCTTGCTAGAAAGTATAGGAGTACCAGTAGTCTTCGAAGGGAAGAGAGGTAGTATAAGCTATGACGCAAACTTCAGCGGACCCCTTTCATTTCGATCGCTAGGGTTGTCGACGCAGCCTCAATACGGTAATTTGATACGAATGTCCCCCGCTACGTCTGTATTATACGTGATGTGATAGCTTCGCCTCAATAAATATTCTTTGGTCACACGGGTATTGAAGTGAATGACTCAACTCCTCTACATTATAGCCTTGATTTATGCATTATACTGTAGCTTGTCGCCTAGGAGTCTCTTATCATGTATACCTACCTACCTACCTAAGTATTTACTACAAAAGCCTACAAGAACCTTAGTAATTTTATTTATTTAGATATCACGTAGTAATTGTTAGTACTTGGTGTGCCGTCCGCAAGGGACAATGAACATAAGTATATGTCTTAGGTAAGCAATGCAATGCCCCCGCTCGTCTTCGGGGGGGCAGGCATCAACTCACCATACGATATAACGGGTAAAGGGGAATGAACATGTATAACAGTAACCTATTACAGTGGGCGTTAAGGCTATTGAGCTTTCACTAGGTACTATAGAAAACACGAATAATATGAGGCAACCCGACTACCTATCTTGTGCCCCCTTTTCATTTAGCCACTTAAGGCCAGTGATGGTATTCCCAGAAAGTGACAATATAACAGTAAGGTTAGGTATACAGTCATCTTGGTTTCATTCTATAATATCTTCACTAACATATCTGTTTGATTCCCATTTTGGTCTCCTCGCATCTTTGTCTTAGGTAGTTTTTCATAGTCAATAGTGGAGTAAGAAATGCTGTATATTTAGGCTGACTAGTCGAGTCTGCGAGCATATCTGAATTACAATTCCATCATTATCTATTAGTTCTTCCAGTCCCCTGGCCTTCCTGTATAGTACGATATATAGCTATTAGTATGTGTGGCATTAGCTGTGCCTTCACTTTTATAAGTAGGCGTCAGTTTTGCTCCGTCTGAGATGACAAGGTCTCCCAGTACTCGTCTAAAAAGTTCTAGAGAGGCCTTTGGCTGATAGTACGGCACTTCATGGCCCGAGTCATAAACCCGCGTGAAGCTGAAGTTACCGTACTGCCTACTTTCTCCATATTCAACGCCATCAACTACAAATGGGGCGTAGCCTGCTTCTTTGAACTCTTTCTCGTGGGTATAGTTTACCGCTAATGACACGGCTTCTCCACCCATCCAATTGCATATATAATCCTATTATATAATCGTTAGCATCGTCTTTATAAAGCTGTACTCCATGCAAATGGGTACATGCTGCGGGTGAAGAGAGAGATGATAGGGGACTTACAGCATCACCGTATATCATTGCGATGCGGACATCGTATGCTAAGAGAGCCTCGAGATCCTCTAATAGATTTGGATAGACAAAGTCGCCGGTGTAATCAAAGCCTGTGTATATTTGGTTGCTGCTTGTAGATGTATAGTTGATATCGACGCCAATGGCGTTCTGGACTTTCGCGGTATTAAGATAGTCGGCCCAGTATCCGGGCGGGATACTTGCATCACTCTCGGCGCGGATATCATAAGGATTTCGCCCGCTTACCACGCTGCTCGCCATTAGAATCCTTGTCAACCTCAAAGAAGAAACGATAAATATACTCACTAATACGGTGATTCCACCAAGCCCCTGCATATGGCCGTTGCCTGTGAGCAGGTGGCCATACCATCTGGTGTAGAGCGGTCTTGTTCGAAGCATAAGTCGATTGAATCGCGGCAGCCACCGGGGAAATAGTAATTCGTCTTCATATAGTCATAGATGGATTGGTTCACGGCCTCAATCCCATACGTATTCTTAAACGCCATTTCGGCGTAATAAGGTGCTTGGATCCTCTCCGATATAATACCATTTATGATGCCGAGGGTGTGCATAGTGAGTTCGACACCAGGGATACTCCCATCCTGAATTAACTTGTTCTGATCATAGAAATATTTGAAAAAGGCTGGGCCATAATGGCCGCCGTAGCTCTCCGTCCAGAGATTGAAACTGCGAGACTTGACGGTCTCGTCTAGGACTGGCAGGTTCAGGATGAAAGCCTGTAGAACTTCCCAAGTACCCTTTGCAGCAAGATCGGTGGTGTCGAACCGGTATGGGTCAACGTCGCTATACCGACCATCGGGATTCGATGAGTTCACAGGCAGTCCAGTGGTTTGATTCACAACACCTACAACGGCATCGGCGTACGAAAAGCCGACTCCAATAGGCTGGGAGAGGAAGAGAAGATTGCTCACTTCGTTCCAAGCATATGGATTCACTACTGAGGTACCGTTATGGGTGACATTGCAGGGTCCAAGTTCTATTTAATAGAGGTAGTTAGCATATCAGCTTCCAGTTAAGTTTAGGTGTTCATTTGAGAAAAGTACCTTCAAAAAGTCCAATCATTGAGTCGCTACCAGGTCCACCGTTAAGCCACAACGTCAGAGGCGCTTCATCGGGATTTGACCTAGCTTCGAAAAACCAGAAGAACATGTGTGTATTCTCATCGAGGTCGACATAGCCCGAATATGAATTAACTCCAGGTGTCGTCTCGCATACACCCTCGAGTTCTGGTTCCTTATAACGAATTGTGACTCCTCCTGGGGATTTGATGGTTGTGACGTTGGAAGGTTCAGCAGGTACTTGTTTTTTAATCAACTTCTCAATATGATTTGGCAGTGAGCTTGCTGATGTGAGGGAGGTATAGAGAGAAAGGAGCTGCAGAGCTGCCGTAGCAGTCCCACGCCTGGTAAAGTGCATGGTTTTTCCCTGGCCTTTGATTAACTCGAGGGAGAAACGAGGGCGAGTGAGTTAAAAAAAAAAAAAAAAAGAAACCAGAGAACTCGTAGGAATGGAAGATAATGGTTCAGCTCACCGGTTTTATACCGATTCCATGCTTATACCCGACCGCCCCACTGGTTTCTTTTTTTTTTTTTTCTCTGTTTCTGTTTACATATTGATAATACGTATAAATACTTAAGGTACCTATGTATAAGTGGTAAGCAGTTGCTGTAAGGTGACGTGCCTGAATACTATAATACTAGGATTATCTAATCTTTACGGATATTGCCTTTACCGATGTTAATGCTGATCAACTACCGATTTAAAATATGACGCTTCTTAAACTCGATGTAACTTTGCCTACGACTGCGTGCAGAAATATTGGGGGCCGTAGGTATCCGTGCTTCAAATGCTGAATTCGAATGGGAAGGTGAGCTTGTTAAGTACAAGGATTCCGCGGGGTAAGCGCTATCATATCAAGGTACCTGATTAGGAATTACATACATCCAGTATGTCGTATGTCGTATCGGATATGGTTCCTGCTTTCCTTTCCTTTCCAAGTGGGGGTGTTCTAAGATAAACAACAAGGTACCTACCTTAGTACATGTTTATCATTCCTTATTTCCTAGAGCTTATTTCCTATAACTAGCACGTTATCAATTCGGGAGGTTGCTGCAACTACCTAATATAACAATTTACCTAAGGTTACCCACTTCATGACCTAATAGCTGGCGGCCGCACGGCTTCAAACGTTTGCACTTAGGTTAGTTGCAGGTGGGAATATTTTACTCATTGCCTTGATGTCAATCACATACTTTCAAAGTATCACCTTGAAGGAATCATAATTCGTAACTATAGCCTAAGAACGGATAACTATACCAAGAGCAACATCCATTATACTCAATAGGTATTCTAGGCTTATAGCAAAACACGTAGGACAATTAATCCATCCCGGGTTCCCGCCACCACCGGTTTCGATAATACACGACATGCGGTGCAAGTCCTTCAAGTCGACTAATCCATTCTGGCGAGATGTTGCCGTAGATTTGAATGAGGCGAAGTTCCTTGAGAGTTTCTATCGTGTTGAAAAACTCGTCCTCCTTCTTCGCATTCACGCGACCAGTCCACCCAACGGAGCCGACAGGCCTAGGCGCCCAATCAATCACCAAAGTTCTGAGATTTTTAGTACGCTCAATAACTTCTCCAAAAAACGATAGCCAACTATTCCAGTTAGGGTGCTCTATTGCCATAAGCAGCCATAGCTTTTCTAGCCGGTCGAACCGAAGTTTCCCACGGACGGCGAAGCCAATTCGCCGGTCGTTCCATCCGGAAACCTGAACGCGCAAGATAGCTTGTTTATGAACTATCGGAGAAAGATCGTAATACAAATTCTTTGAGACTAGCATTAAGCTAGGTAACGGCCGAGAGTATGCTATGTCACCCATATATACAAGATGGGGACGCAGTGTATCCTCAAAATCTTCGTGATCAACGGTGAGATAAAAGTCGATAATACGATCAAGCACTTCCCGTGGGAGGGATAATAGCGGTGAGTAAGCTTGCATCGTAGTCGATGAGGATGAGTACCAGGTCTTATAATAGTGTCTATATTATCATGAAAAGATAAAATATCATAAGACTACCTCTTGAAGTAACCAAATTTCCATTTAGGTAGAAGTTGATGTTGTTAGGCTGCCAAGTTGCCAAGTTGCCAAGGTGATATGCGGGGTGTAGGGCTGTGAAGTAGTGTACGAATTACGGATTACATCCGCTGCCAAGCTTTGCAATGCCTACAATAAGGTAAGTTGGATTTGGAAGATTACAGGGGTTGTCAATTACTGAGCAGTCTCTATTTTCTATTTTGACTCTATAATACTATCCCCTTTCTCTCCTCATCTTATGTGTTCCTAGGTCTTGGAAATCCCGTTTGATAGTATTCAAACACAATGCCACCGAATCAGAATACTAGAGTGAGCTGCAATACTCCTTTAGAAGAACAGCAACGTACCTGCTCTACCAGTCGTGATACGGGCTTAGTTTGGGTATCTGACTTGAAAACCTCGCGGAAGCTGCTTAAATCTCATATCGCAAAACGTACCCACGCAACTGTTAGGAGAAAGAGGGTTCTCGAGTACCAGCAACAAAAAGAAATCCCAAATAGTGTTCCCGGAAGATCCAATACGCCTCTCGATGGTGGTATGACTAGCGAAGAGTCACATCGTAATCAGGCTCTTCCAGCATTCTACACTTTATATGACGACCGAGCACATTATTATCATATACCCCATTGGATATCGAATTATACAACCCCGCCACGCGGAGATTCATTTAACCATTTTTCAGTTCCATTATCGCCGCTTGAAAATTCGCTTATGAGCCACTGTTAGTACTCCCAGTCAACTACCCTATTACCCTGTCCTGGTATTCGAAATGTACATTGGTATTATACTTACATAACCCTTTTAGATATTTCTACAATTGTGAATAACCACACTAGCAGCGTCTACTCTTCATACCAGCATGCGGCTATGAATGATTGGCTCCCGGTAGCCATCGCAGATCCTGGCATGCGGATGGGTCTCTTCCTCTGCGCGTCTCGTAGCTTATACGCTCGTACGGGTGCACGACTATATTTCCAATATGCTCTACAGTATAAGGCTGTCTGCTTAAGAATGCTTAGCAATGCTGTCAGTGCAGCACTTGAAGTGAGCGAAGCTGAGTCTATATCTGCAGTAGGAGATGCTACTATCTCCACTGCGCTTCAGCTAGCTTCAGATGAAGTAAGTAACTATTATCATTATCATGAATTCTAGTCCGCTCTATTTGCTTCTAAGGTTTGAGGGGGGGTTCATCTTTAATACTATATCTTAAGCTAACCATCTTATGCAGTTTGCAGTGGGGGATGCCACCGCGTTAAAAAATCATGTTAGCGCTGTGAGCCAGATGGTCTCGTTGAACGGAGGGTTGGAAAATATTAAAGGAATGAATGGATTCTTAAAAGTGATGAAAACATTCTAGTTTGTAAGCATCGACGAATGATTGAAGCGACTGGCTTTGATAATCAAGATCGCTCAGGCTATACACTTTAGATTATTTCTTCAGTTATCTAATTTAATGTAACGACATAGCATAGGTATCTTTAGTAAGTGCCAAAAAGAGACTAGGTACCTATTGAGGCATGTATGTTAAGATATTTCATTATCAAACAGAGCTGGATAACTTAAAGACCCGCGAGTTAGGAGGCCGATGTGGCGGTGCAGGCGCTTATTAATACAGGGGGGGGGGGGGGGGGGGGGTATCAATTTCATTTACAGTTGCTGCTCTTCACCTTAGGTGTATTTCATTTCATTTCATCCCATTCATTTTATTCCATTTTTTTCTCAGTCGATCTCAAATTGACGAGATTATACGATGAAAAAACTACTTACTGAATTTAAGCGCACTGCATTGTCTCCCCCACCTAACCTATCCTCATCGAGTCAAGCACTAAACGTAGCAAGTAATGTTCGGTCTGACTGTAAGACCGTAATATCACCTACATCCAAACTCCCAACTCCGGCCTATGTGACGAGCTACAACGGCTTAGAGAAACTTCCACCTGAAATACGACGCCAAATACTCTCGATTCTAGACTTGCAGAACCTAAATTCCTTGGTACATTCATCTGCTACTTTCCACCAGCAGTATCTTGAGGACCGGCGGTATCTACTCTGTTCGTCGCTAGAAATGACACTGGGCACCGTCACCTCTGATGCTTGTGCTGCTTTTCAGTCTAGATCTCCTCACTTTTCATATACGCGCGAAGACGTTATACATTTATTAGGGACCTTTCGGGTCAATAATAAACCTCTCTACAAGAGGCTGAGAGAACACGAAGCAGTAGAAATGGCCGCTTTCCATTTATCTATAATATCACCTCTTCTCCAATACTACACTAGCTGGACCCTAGCTAACCTCGTCACCGAAACGGGAAATATATCTAGAAGTATAGCTCTCAGCCAAGTGAAGAAAACTCGGCTGCTACGTTCCTTCTATCGCTTTCAACTTTGTTGTAATATATTCAGGCACGGTGATCAAAGGCAATGTACGAAACAAAACTTAGAATTCCGTCCCGTCGAGATTCTTCGGCTATTTTTCTGCCAATTCGAACCATGGGAAGTTGAAGAAATATCCTGCATTAATACTTTCGCTCAGGATAAGTATGACCAGATATTTCGAAAGATTTCCTGGGACGTGAATGAAAAAAACCCAAAATTCGACGGTCAACGCCCACCTACGCCCGAGGGGGCCTTTGATCCTGATAATAGTTGTATGTTTTAATTCTTCGGCCATAGAGAGCCCGCAACCCTGCGGCAATATAGGTAGTCTGTTCAACTGCTAACTTAACCAGGGGCTAGGGAGTGGCTGTTGACTGGAACTGTGTCTCGTGGCCTTGAATTACTGCACAAGATAACGTTCAAAATCGAGAACCACTCACAACTAGTTCAGACGATGCAAGAGTATATTACTTTGCCCTTGGGAAATTTTATCGCAGAGGAAGCCTTAGGAGAGATAGCGCAATGGGAGCGGCGCCAGGAGGCCCTCTCCGAAAGAGATGAGAAGCAAAACCGACGTGACCTGCTACCCTTCAATGGAGATGCATAATCGTGTCCGCCACTGGCTTGGACATTAATATGGGGTGGCACCTATAGCAACTTATATGGATACTACGTGCAGGATACTATTCGTCGGTTCGGTTACGTTTTCTTTGACGCCATAACGATCGAGTCATTAGGCGCTAAAGATATATTACTTCGAGAACGGGAGAAAGATTGGGGTGATGGCGACCCGCGAGACGATATTTGAAAACTAGGTAGGTACCTATCTATGTCGGATTGTTGATAAAACATACCTTACATGGGACATTCAATCAATATGGACATGTAATCATCCTGTCCATCTACCTTCTAGTCCTCTTCGAAAGGTCTAGCCTGACTAGC